ATAATTCTGCTATAGCTGTAAAAGCACTGTTTTTTGATTTATTAAAAATATTTATACATAAAAAATAGGAAAATGAAGAAAATTAAGAATAGAAAAATTTATAAATTTATAAATAAATTTCGATTAGATTTATAAAAACACTGTTTAAATATGTTGTTTAGATGGTTTGTTGGCTCAGATTTCACCGAAGGATTTTATTCTTGCCGTTGTGATGATGACCAGCAAAGATCCTACGTTTTTCCCTGCATTACTTTCTGCTCTACAGAAAGTTCAAGCATATGGTAAATTTCACTTTTTTTTTTCTAATTTTTTCAAAGCAAAGTTAGGAACTGTTAAGGACGAATGTTTGGTATGACATTTAATGCTCTGTATACTCCTCAGGGCACAGGTTTTTTTTCCTTGCTTTCTTACTCGTATTTTCAGAGATTGATAAAATATTAAGAAATGAAATAATCATCGAGGAAATGGGAGTTCCGCTAACAAGGATTTCTCATTTTTTCATTCACTTTTTCATGTTTTTTTTGTTTTTTGTTTTTTATGGATAACTGAAAAGGAGAGAAGGAAAAGGTGACGATGTATATTTTTATTAAAAATAATGTTTTCTTCAATCACAGACGAAGCACGGCAAGCAAGTATATATCAGGCATATGCAGCATCAGCAGCGTCTTATGCACCAGCAACGAATCGTCAATATCCCTCTCAAATTCAGTATTCCAGTATCAAAACATTGCGAACCTGTAAGTTACTCCTGCTCTCTCCTCTCCCAGCTTTCCCAGAAAATTTTTCTAGAATGTTTCTGTGCAGTTATTTAAATCCTTTCTGACATTTATAATGCATAAATATTTGATAATGTATCACTTTTATTGTTTGGTCAGTTATTTATCCGTAATCTATTCGGATTATAGCGAATCCATCTCATCCATATGGTGCGATGCGATCTGATGTCTTAATCGACGTAACCAAGCGGTCATATGATCGACTACTTGGAGCCACTAAGGGCGATGAACTTAGTGCACGCAAAAGTTATCGAGCTCCCTCACCAGTTCGTGATTATCGAAATCCCTCAACATTACCTTTCCGCGATTTTAGTCAAACGTAGTAGTTATTAGAAAATGTTATTATCCACTTTATTTAGTGCATATGGTGATGAGATCAAATATTATGATTAAATGCCAAATGAAAAAAGCCAGGAAAGAGTTTCATGCTCATATGTTTGCAAATTAAGTTGTGTGATTGTAGTTTTTTTTGCTTGGTTTTTTCATTTTTCATACTATATTATTCATTGGTTGTATTCTTAAAGTCTTTATTTGACAACAGATTGTGTTTTTGAACTCTTTACCTGTCCACCAGTTATTTTATATATAAAATTAAAGCATATATGTGATATTTTCTGTTTGATCAATAATGTTCTTATGTAATATACATATATCGTAATATACATGCAACCTTCTAACGTAATATATATGCAATCTTTTTGGAAAAGGTTGAGGTATTGAGTTTTAACATTGTGCTACCAAGATATATACTGCGTAATTAAATTTTGCAACTACTTTTAACTGTAGCAAAGCTGCGGAATCATGTCGGAAGATATAGTGACCAAGAAAACATGAAATTAAAGTTTGCTAGCGAAAATCATTTGTTTCAATGTGCAATAAATACAAACGTGATACATGTAAACTCCGTAAATGTAGTACTTGACATTTCTTGTTCCTTCAGATACAATTTGCAGAAAAGGCTAAGTGTTTGATGTTAGTTGTGTTGTAAAGCTTACATATTAATATTGTCGTGTTAATAATTTGCGGGATCAAAAAGATCCGTCTATTGGTCAAGTATTTCATGAACAAAAGAGTGGTGGTATAGATTTCGATATGAGGACCTTGTTTATCGTGATACTTATTATCTCATTTAGTTCATCATATTTTATAGATGGCACTGTCATGGGTGCATTGCAATAATTGCTATTTGACCGCTGCTGCTCAGAACACTACCAAACGTGAGACATTTGCACTTGCAAATTGTGGACATATATTCTGCTCCAAGTGTATTGGCAAATGTGGTTTGTTTACTGATACTTTTCCTACCGTTCGTAAAGTAAAAGTGGCACAAGTTACAAATATTAGCAAACAATCAAATTCATTATTTTCTTTTGTCTCTACGAATCAGTTTTGTACATTTTGATTACATTTCAACTGGAACTGTTTTATTTTTCGTCTAATATTTTTAGACAAAATTTTTTACTTCCCCTTTAATATTATCAAATTGGATATCTATTATTTTAATCCAATTGGAATATTATTTTCTGTCTGATACTTTCAAGTAAAACACTGCGCAGTATTGCTTCCCTTTGTTATTTAGTTCGAGTTCTTCATCATTCCATCTGACTGGAGCATTATCTTCTGACTGTACTCAGAATGTTTGATGCCTATGGTGTATTAGAGGGACTTTAATTAATTTTTTGATGAAAATTGGTTACATTATATGAGATAATAGTAGTTGAAAATACGTTTCTTTGGAAAGTAACTGAATACTGAATATAATCAGCCATTAAATAAAAACAAATAATTTCATATGGGTCTATTTATGATTACAGTATCAGGGAGTATGTGTACGGTATGTCGTCGTTCACCTTTTGTTTATGAAAACGTGGGACATCGTATGAGTGAGAAAACAAAAAAATATTTCCAGGTTTGTACTGAATAACATAATCCATCAACTTCTTAACTTCTTTGTTTTGGTTAAATTTGTTTTTAAGAAGGTGATATGATTGGAAACAAAAGTGATATAATTTCAGACACCTAATACTCTACTGATGAATGCATTACGAAAGGTAAATTCTGTCATCAAATTCCAGCAGAATCAGTACAACATAATGCGAAGGAATGTAAGCAGCATGGTAAGTTTTTGACTTTTAGGATGCAGTTACTTTCGAAAATGTTCTCATCACTGGTCTCAGTGATTCCCCATCACTATCGGGATGGCAATATTAACCACAGTAATATTTCCATATTCTAGGATTGGCGAGTATCATGCCTCTAATGTCATTGTATACTCGCGTAGTAGATGGTATTGATTAATTCGCAAACATTAATGCACTATTTATTCTCATTTATGTCTACAAAGAAGGAATTCGGGACTTTTTTTTAATGAGAACATTGTATTTTAAAGAAAGTTTTCTCTTCTTTATTTTGCAATTTAAATCGAAATTCATCAGTACTGAAAAATATCAATGAATTATAACTTACTTCACGTCACAAATTCAAGAACCCTTCAAAATCAACATTTGAAAGAACAACAGAGGATAGGTGGAAAACATGTTTATGAGTGAAAGCCAGGTTTATAGTACGAACAAATATTTTTGTTTTCCATGGTAATAATGAAAAAAATAATTTGATTCCTATGATTTTCCTCAAATTTTGTTTTAAAAAAATTTTTAAAATTGTGAAATACGTCATATTTTCTTTACAAATATAGGAAATATTTTGTTTCCTTAATTCTAGCATGAACAGATGAATAATGTAGCTGATCGATGCAAGGAAACTGCGAAGATCTGCGACTTTTTGGAGAGGTGTGTTTTACTCCTTTATAGGAAACACTCTATGATTCTTATAAAGACTCATGATTGGTACATTATCTTTACTCTTAATTATCACATCAAGAGGAAGCTGAAGATGAAGTAGATTTATTTTAATGCTTGATCACTGAGACATCTTTCAGTGGCCTTAATGTCATTGTTATGGATGTAGTGAAGATTGTGCTCTGATTTAGTTGTTTCCTCTTTCCCCATATTCAGTCATTATTCATGAATTTGTCGCAGTGTCACTTTCCGTGATATCTACTAGCTGAAAACAAATAAACATCTCTATTTTTTTAAAGATTTTTGATGCCGATCTACAACATTTTTTAGGAATGCAAAAACACTGGCGACTAATATGCAGCATCAGCATGAAATATTGCAGAATTTGAATAGTTCATTTGCAGACTGTTCACTAACTTTGAAACATTTTGGAGATGTCAGTGATAATGTCGATACATCAGGTATGTTTCCAAATCTAAGCAAAAGTTGGGACCAAAAAGACGGGATGAGGTTTTGCTATGATTAGTGTGATACGAAAAAGCAAAATGATTTAGTCGATACATTAACAAAGTAAAATGGACGTTGTGAATTACATTCATGTTTAGGATCGGTGGTTTCGCAACACAATTCATCTCTGCAAAATAACGTAAAACCTTAATTTTCTTTATAACAGTTATTCATTTATTTTATAAGAAGAAGGTTCTTCAGAAGAGTGGGAACGATGGATAATAACCATAGACAAATTTGAGCAACTTTGATATTTGGGAAAAATATATATCAAACGGTCTTTTAATCATTTGTTGTCTATGCTCGCATTACCTTGTAAATTTACCCTTTGACCCGATGAGTACTGTTGGTGTTCGCCCAAAATAATGCTTTATTTAATACGCTGTAATAAATATAAGAAGAAACTATTCGGGGATGGAGGAGACTTTTGAAGTAGTGATATTGACTGATAATATTTTTAATCCTTTATTTGATCTAATAAAAGTATATATATATATATATATATATATATATATATATATATATATATATATATATATATATATATATAT